TTGAGGGTGTCGGGTGCCCCGTGTGGCTCTGTACTCCTCGGACGTCCCTCCATGAGCGCTCTATACATTGGACCGGTTCTGAGTGGAGAGGAAAGGGTTAGGGGGTATATCAGGCTCCCACCTTCCTCTACACTCAGGAGGAGCGCCCCCTGCAGTATCTGTAGCGAGGAGGAGCGCCCCCTGCAGTATCTGTAGCGAGGAGGAGCGCCCCCTGCAGTATCTGTAGCGAGGAGGAGCGCCCCCTGCAGTATCTGTAGCGAGGAGGAGCGCCCCCTGCAGTATCTGTAGCGAGGAGGAGCGCCCCCTGCATTATCTGTAGCGAGGAGGAGCGCCCCCTGCAGCATGTGTAGCGAGGAGGAGCGCCCCCTGCAGCATGTGTAGCGAGGAGGAGCGCCCCCTGCAGCATGTGTAGCGAGGAGGAGCGCCCCCTGCAGTATCTGTAGCGAGGAGGACTCGGCCCCTGCAGTATCTGTAGCGAGGAGGAGCGCCCCCTGCAGTATCTGTAGCGAGGAGGACTCGGCCCCTGCAGTATCTGTAGCGAGGAGGAGCGCCCCCTGCAGTATCTGTAGCGAGGAGGAGCGCCCCCTGCAGTATCTGTAGCGAGGAGGAGCGCCCCCTGCAGTATCTGTAGCGAGGAGGAGCGCCCCCTGCAGCATGTGTAGCGAGGAGGAGCGCCCCCTGCAGTATCTGTAGCGAGGAGGAGCGCCCCCTGCAGCATGTGTAGCGAGGAGGAGCGCCCCCTGCAGTATCTGTAGTGAGGAGGAGCGCCCCCTGCAGCATGTGTAGCGAGGAGGAGCGCCCCCTGCAGTATCTGTAGCGAGGAGGAGCGCCCCCTGCAGCATGTGTAGCGAGGAGGAGCGCCCCCTGCAGCATGTGTAGCGAGGAGGAGCGCCCCCTGCAGCATGTGTAGCGAGGAGGAGCGCCCCCTGCAGTATCTGTAGCGAGGAGGAGCAGCCCCCTGCAGCATGTGTAGCGAGGAGGAGCGCCCCCTGCAGCATGTGTAGCGAGGAGGAGCGCCCCCTGCAGTATCTGTAGCGAGGAGGAGCGCCCCCTGCAGTATCTGTAGCGAGGAGGAGCGCCCCCTGCAGTATGTGTAGCGAGGAGGAGCGCCCCCTGCAGCATGTGTAGCGAGGAGGAGCGCCCCCTGCAGTATCTGTAGCGAGGAGGAGCGCCCCCTGCAGTATCTGTAGCGAGGAGGAGCGCCCCCTGCAGTATCTGTAGCGAGGAGGAGCGCCCCCTGCAGTATCTGTAGCGAGGAGGAGCGCCCCCTGCAGTATCTGTAGCGAGGAGGAGCGCCCCCCTGCAGTATCTGTAGCGAGGAGGAGCGCCCCCTGCAGTATCTGTAGCGAGGAGGAGCGCCCCCTGCAGTATCTGTAGCGAGGAGGAGCGCCCCCTGCAGTATCTGTAGCGAGGAGGAGCGCCCCCTGCAGCATGTGTAGCGAGGAGGAGCGCCCCCTGCAGCATGTGTAGCGAGGAGGAGCGCCCCCTGCAGTATCTGTAGCGAGGAGGAGCGCCCCCTGCAGCATGTGTAGCGAGGAGGAGCGCCCCCTGCAGTATCTGTAGCGAGGAGGAGCGCCCCCTGCAGTATCTGTAGCGAGGAGGAGCGCCCCCTGCAGTATCTGTAGCGAGGAGGAGCACCCCCTGCAGCATGTGTAGCGAGGAGGAGCAGCCCCCTGCAGCATGTGTAGCGAGGAGGAGCAGCCCCCTGCAGCATGTGTAGCGAGGAGGAGCGCCCCCTGCAGCATGTGTAGCGAGGAGGAGCGCCCCCTGCAGCATGTGTAGCGAGGAGGAGCGCCCCCTGCAGTATCTGTAGCGAGGAGGACTCGGCCCCTGCAGTATCTGTAGCGAGGAGGAGCGCCCCCTGCAGTATCTGTAGCGAGGAGGAGCGCCCCCTGCAGTATCTGTAGCGAGGAGGAGCGAGCGCCCCCCCCTGCAGTATCTGTAGCGAGGAGGAGCGCCCCCTGCAGTATCTGTAGCGAGGAGGAGCGCCCCCTGCAGCATGTGTAGCGAGGAGGAGCGCCCCCTGCAGTATCTGTAGCGAGGAGGAGCGCCCCCTGCAGCATGTGTAGCGAGGAGGAGCGCCCCCTGCAGTATCTGTAGCGAGGAGGAGCGCCCCCTGCAGCATGTGTAGCGAGGAGGAGCGCCCCCTGCAGTATATCTGTAGCGAGGAGGAGCGCCCCCTGCAGCATGTGTAGCGAGGAGGAGCGCCCCCTGCAGCATGTGTAGCGAGGAGGAGCGCCCCCTGCAGTATCTGTAGCGAGGAGGAGCGCCCCCTGCAGTATCTGTAGCGAGGAGGAGCGCCCCCTGCAGTATCTGTAGCGAGGAGGAGCGCCCCCTGCAGTATCTGTAGCGAGGAGGACTCGGCCCCTTTAAGAGTCGCACACAATGTTGGATTGTTGGCGGAGCAGCGCAGGGAGGAGGAGGAGGAGGAGGAGGAGGAGGAGGAGGAGGAGGAGGAGGAGGAGGGAGGAGGAATTCTCATCCAGTTTAAAGGACAAGGAGCAGGAAAGTCAACAAAAACCTCCTTCATCAGCCTTCCCTCCCTGGAGTCATGTCTCTGCTCAATTACACACCAGCTGAAAGGCGAAATCAGCTCCATAAACTGCTGAGTGGGGGATGGGGCAGCAAGGGGAGGACATTCCTGTCTACAGGAAAGTAACCAATCAGCTGTGATATATCATTATTATACAGGATTTATGGCGCCAACAGTGTCCTCAGTGCTGGCCATGGGGGGGGGGGGGAGGGGGGCAACTTCATATTAATGCCCATGGGGGAGGGGGCAACTCCATATTAATGCCCATGGGGGGGGGGCAACTCCATATTAATGGCCATGGGGGAGGGGGCAACTCCATATTAATGACCCTGGGGGAGGGGGAAACTCCGTATTAATGACCCTGGGGGAGGGGGAAACTCCGTATTAATGACCCTGGGGGAGGGGGCAACTCCATATTAATGACCCTGGGGGAGGGGGGCAACTCCATAATATTGCCCATGGGGAGGGGGAAACTCCGTATTAATACCCATGGGGGGGGCAACTCCGTATTAATACCCATGGGGGGGCAACTCCGTATTAATACCCATGGGGGAGGGGGAAACTCCGTATTAATACCCATGGGGGAGGGGGCAACTCCGTATTAATACCCATGGGGGGGCAACTCCGTATTAATACCCATGGGGGAGGGGGCAACTCCGTATTAATACCCATGGGGGAGGGGCCATCTCCAAGTGCAGGCCATCTTCTCGCAGCCATTGACTTGCCCCTCACTGCCTCCTGTGTGCCCCCCGGGATTTCACCTGAAGCGCCCCCTGCAGGCAGCAGGGCGTTCCTCTGTGGTAGAAGTGGCTGAGTCCGCGCCATGCTGGCCGGGAACGTTGATTTTGGCGCCGATCCTCCGGGGTAATATTTCTGTAATTTGTTTTTCTTCTGAAAATAACTGAATAGAAGGCGCTGTGTGCACATTGGCCGTCTGTGCGCCCGGGAGAGTGATGTCATCACTGGACCGCAGTGCGGAAAAGAAATAGAAGAGTCTGTTCAACGTATGGGAACAAAGAGGACCTGTCCCTGGAAATGTTTCCTCAGTCTCCCCTCCCCCAGTGATCAGACTGTACATTGTAACTTTGTAGAAAGAAAAGGATGCATTCCCTCAGTCTCCCCTCCCCTAGTGATCAGACTGTACATTGTAACTTTGTAGAAGGAGGAGGAGGCGTTTCCGCAGTCTCCCCTCCCCTAGTGATCAGACTGTACATTGTAACTTTGTAGAAGGAGGAGGAGGCGTTTCCTCAGTCTCCCCTCCCCCAGTGATCAGACTGTACATTGTAACTTTGTAGAAGGAGGAGGAGGCGTTTCCGCAGTCTCCCCTCCCCCAGTGATCAGACTGTACATTGTAACTTTGTAGAAGGAGGAGGAGGCATTTTCTCAGTCTCCTCCCCCAGTGATCAGACTGTACATTGTAACTTTGTAGAAGGAGGAGGAGGCATTTTCTCAGTCTCCTCCCCCAGTGATCAGACTGTACATTGTAACTTTGTAGAAGGAGGAGGAGGCATTTCCTCAGTCTCCCCTCCTACAGTGATCAGACTGTACATTGTAACTTTGTAGGAGGAGGAGGAGTCTTTCTCTCAGTCTCCCCTCCTCCAGTGATCAGACTGTACATTGTAACTTTGTAGGAGGAGGTGTGATAATTGTGCGCACAGATATTGACACGGACAACCATTTTGCTAAGATCCACCATCTTGTATCATTCTCTCTCTCTCCAGCCCCCCTCCCCTTGCAGGAATGTGGTCTGTGTGTGCGCTGAGTTCTGTGCACAGGGCACAGATGGATACACTTCATGGATGTAAACCCAATAAGCTGGTTCCATGGTGTCTGTCAGACTCTTGCCTTGGCCGGATCGTAAAGCTATAAATCCGTCCGTCACTGGACATGAAAAGCATTCTGGAGTAGCAGTAAAACTACATCCCACTTGAAATCACTTTTTCATACAAATTCATAAATCCCAGCAGGAAAAAGGTACAATAAACCAAAGCATATATTCAGATAGGTCATTTTAATACGAGTCACCTGACACCTTACACCCCTATGTGGCACCTACATGAGAGTAGAAAGCAATATGTCTTTATCTGGACCGGTAAGATATGTCATAGTTGATGTCTAGACGTTCAGCAGATGATTCTGCATATTATCCTACCAGTGGATAGGATGCTACAGGTCCCTATGGAAGGGTATTGACCAGGGTATAGACTTGGGAGGGATTTTGGTCCTAGCCTGGGTCTCCGCCTAAACCCCCCCTCCCCAGATGAGGCGATTGGCCCTTGGCTTCAGTGGACACCCCCTGCTGGGGGGACTAGAAAACAGGCTGTCAGGCCTGGAGAAGTAAGATGAAGATGTATGGACTCTGCACAGTCCCACTTCTCCTGTCCTGGATACCGGGTGTCATTCTCGGTATCTCCTCTTATTCTGTATGTATGGACTCTGCACAGTCCCACTTCTCCTGTCCTGGATGCCGGGTGTCATTCTCGGTATCTGTCCCCATTCTGTATGTATGGACTCTGCACAGTCCCACTTCTCCTGTCCTGGATGCCGGGTGTCATTCTTGGTATCTGTCCCCATTCTGTATGTATGGACTCTGCACAGTCCCACTTCTCCTGTCCCAGATGCCGGGTGTCATTCTCTGTATCTGTCCCCATTCTGTATGTATGGACTCTGCACAGTCCCACTTCTCCTGTCCTGGATGCCGGGTGTCATTCTCGGTATCTGTCCCCATTCTGTATGTATGGACTCTGCACAGTCCCACTTCTCCTGTCCCAGATGCCGGGTGTCATTCTCTGTATCTGTCCCCATTCTGTATGTATGGACTCTGCACAGTCCCACTTCTCCTGTCCCGGATGCCGGGTGTCATTCTCGGTATCTGTCCCCATTCTGTATGTATGGACTCTGCACAGTCCCACTTCTCCTGTCCTGGATGCCGGGTGTCATTCTCGGTATCTGTCCCCATTCTGTATGTATGGACTCTGCACAGTCCCACTTCTCCTGTCCCGGATGCCGGGTGTCATTCTCAGTATCTGTCCCCATTCTGTATGTATGGACTCTGCACAGTCCTACTTCTCCTGTCCCGGATGCCGGGTGTCATTCTCGGTATCTGTCCCTGTTCTGTATATATGGATATTTTTATTTGTAAAAAACAAACAGAATACAAAGTAACAAAACTGTAACCATCATAAAAATAAAACCTGAAAACAACAACAATGTAACAATGTTACATCTTCTGCACGCCAGAAACTCAGCAGTTTATACTAAATAAAAGTTATACATCGAATTTGATGCTATAAATAGATTCCTCCCATTTTATATTCCTCCAATGATCCTTCAGCTCTAAACTCTTTATCCACCTCAACTCTGAGAGGACCACGTCTGCGACTCTCCTGGCCGGGAACAGCTCGTTGTGCATGGCTACCTTGGTCCTCAGAGGACCACGTCTGCGTCTCCTGGCCAGGAACAGCTCATTGTGCATGGCTACCTTGGTCCTCAGAGGACTACATCTGCGACTCTCCTGGCCGAGAACAGCTCGTTGTGCATGGCTACCTTGGTCCTCAGAGGACTACGTCTGCGTCTCTCCTGGCCGAGAACAGCTCGTTGTGCATGGCTACCTTGGTCCTCAGAGGACTACGTCTGCGACTCTCCTGGCCAGGAACACCTCGTTGTGTGCATGGCTACCTTGGTCCTCAGAGGACTACATCTGCGACTCTCCTGGCCGGGAACAGCTCATAGTGCATGGCTACCTTGGTCCTCAGAGGACCACGTCTGCGTCTCCTGGCCGAGAACAGCTCGTTGTGCATGGCTACCTTGGTCCTCAGAGGACCACGTCTGCGACTCTCCTGGCCAGGAACAGCTCGTTGTGCATGGCTACCTTGGTCCTCAGAGGACCACGTCTGCGACTCTCCTGGCCGGGAACAGCTTGTTGTGCATGGCTACCTTGGTCCTCAGAGGACCACGTCTGCGACTCTCCTGGCCAGGAACAGCTCATTGTGCATGGCTACCTTGGTCCTCAGAGGACCACGTCTGCGACTCTCCTGGCCAGGAACAGCTCATTGTGCATGGCTACCTTGGTCCTCAGAGGACTACATCTGCGACTCTCCTGGCCGAGAACAGCTCGTTGTGCATGGCTACCTTGGTCCTCAGAGGACTACGTCTGCGTCTCTCCTGGCCGAGAACAGCTCGTTGTGCATGGCTACCTTGGTCCTCAGAGGACCACGTCTGCGACTCTCCTGGCCAGGAACAGCTCATTGTGCATGGCTACCTTGGTCCTCAGAGGACTACATCTGCGACTCTCCTGGCCGAGAACAGCTCGTTGTGCATGGCTACCTTGGTCCTCAGAGGACTACGTCTGCGTCTCTCCTGGCCGAGAACAGCTCGTTGTGCATGGCTACCTTGGTCCTCAGAGGACTACGTCTGCGACTCTCCTGGCCAGGAACACCTCGTTGTGCATGGCTACCTTGGTCCTCAGAGGACTACATCTGCGACTCTCCTGGCCGGGAACAGCTCATAGTGCATGGCTACCTTGGTCCTCAGAGGACCACGTCTGCGTCTCCTGGCCGAGAACAGCTCGTTGTGCATGGCTACCTTGGTCCTCAGAGGACCACGTCTGCGACTCTCCTGGCCAGGAACAGCTCGTTGTGCATGGCTACCTTGGTCCTCAGAGGACCACGTCTGCGACTCTCCTGGCCGGGAACAGCTTGTTGTGCATGGCTACCTTGGTCCTCAGAGGACTACATCTGCGACTCTCCTGGCCAGGAACAGCTCGTTGTGCATGGCTACCTTGGTCCTCAGAGGACTACGTCTGCGACTCTCCTGGCCGGGAACAGCTCATAGTGCATGGCTACCTTGGTCCTCAGAGGACTACGTCTGCGACTCTCCTGGCCAGGAACACCTCGTTGTGCATGGCTACCTTGGTCCTCAGAGGACTACATCTGCGACTCTCCTGGCCGGGAACAGCTCATAGTGCATGGCTACCTTGGTCCTCAGAGGACCACGTCTGCGTCTCCTGGCCGAGAACAGCTCGTTGTGCATGGCTACCTTGGTCCTCAGAGGACCACGTCTGCGACTCTCCTGGCCAGGAACAGCTCGTTGTGCATGGCTACCTTGGTCCTCAGAGGACCACGTCTGCGACTCTCCTGGCCGGGAACAGCTTGTTGTGCATGGCTACCTTGGTCCTCAGAGGACTACGTCTGCGACTCTCCTGGCCAGGAACAGCTCGTTGTGCATGGCTACCTTGGTCCTCAGAGGACTACGTCTGCGACTCTCCTGGCCAGGAACAGCTCGTTGTGCATGGCTACCTTGGTCCTCAGAGGACTACATCTGCGACTCTCCTGGCCAGGAACAGCTCGTTGTGCATGGCTACCTTGGTCCTCAGAGGACCACGTCTGCGTCTCCTGGCCGAGAACAGCTCGTTGTGCATGGCTACCTTGGTCCTCAGAGGACTACATCTGCGACTCTCCTGGCCGGGAACAGCTCATAGTGCATGGCTACCTTGGTCCTCAGAGGACCACGTCTGCGACTCTCCTGGCCAGGAACAGCTCGTTGTGCATGGCTACCTTGGTCCTCAGAGGACTACGTCTGCGTCTCTCCTGGCCGAGAACAGCTCGTTGTGCATGGCTACCTTGGTCCTCAGAGGACTACGTCTGCGACTCTCCTGGCCAGGAACACCTCGTTGTGCATGGCTACCTTGGTCCTCAGAGGACTACATCTGCGACTCTCCTGGCCGGGAACAGCTCATAGTGCATGGCTACCTTGGTCCTCAGAGGACCACGTCTGCGTCTCCTGGCCGAGAACAGCTCGTTGTGCATGGCTACCTTGGTCCTCAGAGGACCACGTCTGCGACTCTCCTGGCCAGGAACAGCTCGTTGTGCATGGCTACCTTGGTCCTCAGAGGACCACGTCTGCGACTCTCCTGGCCGGGAACAGCTCGTTGTGCATGGCTACCTTGGTCCTCAGAGGACTACATCTGCGACTCTCCTGGCCAGGAACAGCTCGTTGTGCATGGCTACCTTGGTCCTCAGAGGACTACGTCTGCGACTCTCCTGGCCGGGAACAGCTCATAGTGCATGGCTACCTTGGTCCTCAGAGGACTACGTCTGCGACTTTCCTGGCCAGGAACAGCTCGTTGTGCATGGCTACTTTGGTCCATGCGTGCCAGTGATAGTCCTTGATCACGGTGATAACAATGTACATGGTTCCTCTGTCTATGTTGTGTATTGTGGGGGGAACACCATAAAGCCTGTCAGAGCAGCTCAGGTTCTCCAACCTTCGGATCCGAACTCTGTCAGCTACTTCCTTCCAGACCTCACGGCTTCCCCAACAATCCACCAAGAAATGTGCCATGGACTCCTCCTGATTACAGCCCAAAAGCCTGCTGCACACTGCCCTCCTGCCCGAGGCTGGCCCCTTGGACCTCTGGGTTTACCTCCCCCTCAGTTGATATGACCCCATTCATTAAGGCTTCCTCCTCCAGGTGTTCTGCTGCCAGCAGTTCCTCCTCTGCCGATTCCTCATCCCTGTTATGGAAGGCCACCGGGCAATCTCTGTGGAAATGGCCAAGTCCACCACATAGATTGCACTTGATGTTCTCACAGGTAGAACTGACATGGCCGACCTCCCCACACAGATGACACTTCATGACGGAGCAGACACTCGCCACATGACCCGACCGACTTACCGCAAGTAAAACATAGCCGGGGCTGACCTGCATAGAAGACTCCCCTCTCCCGCCCAATGAAAAAGGAGCCTGGCAGGTGATGGGTGACATTGTTACTCTGCCTCAACGAGAACCCTCCAACCTCCAGTCCTGATCCCATCACTGTCCCTAGTTTTGGTCAGATCAGAGACCATCTCACAATGCCTTCTGAGCCAGACTACAATATCCTGGGGGGGCACAGACTACAGTATCCTGGGGGGGGCACAGACTACAATATCCTGGGGGGGGGGGCACAGACTACAATATCCTGGGGGGGGCACAGACTACAATATCCTGGGGGGGCACAGACTACAATATCCTGGAGGGGGGGGCACAGACTACAATATCCTGGGGGGGGGGCACAGACTACAATATCCTGGGGGGGGGGCACAGACTACAATATCCTGGGGGGGGCACAGACTACAGTATCCTGGGGGGGCACAGACTACAGTATCCTGGGGGGGCACAGACTACAATATCCTGGGGGGGCACAGACTACAGTATCCTGGGGGGGGCACAGACTACAATATCCTGGGGGGGGCACAGACTACAATATCCTGGGGGGGCACAGACTACAATATCCTGGAGGGGGGGGGCACAGACTACAATATCCTGGGGGGGGGGGGGGCACAGACTACAATATCCTGGGGGGGGGCACAGACTACAATATCCTGGGAGGGGGGCACAGACTACAATATCCTGGGGGGGCACAGACTACAATATCCTGGGGGGGGCACAGACTACAGTATCCTGGGGGGGCACAGACTACAATATCCTGGGGGGGGCACAGACTACAATATCCTGGGGGGGCACAGACTACAATATCCTGGGGGGGGGCACAGACTACAATATCCTGGGGGGGCACAGACTCATTCCAGAAAATGATGTTAACGTTTGCTGTGTCAGGTTTGGAGATGGGGATGAAGATGAAGTTCCTCCACCCCTCTTTGTCCTGAAACCCACTAAAGCCGGCCCAGAACCTGTCCAAGCCAGACATGAGCTTGAAGCTGACATCATCCCGTCTGTCAGGGAGGTTGATGATGGCCAGTATATCTGGGGCACAAACCCCATCTGCTGACACAGCAACTCCCTAACTACAAACCTCCTATCAGGGAGCTCTTCTCTGGAACCCCTATGCTTCAACCTGACCACGTTCCTCCTCTTGAAGGCCTGACCAGTATATCTGGTACTGCTGGAAAAAGAAGGAGCCCCA